GAATCGAAAACAATTCAAGACTGTAACTGATGTAACTAAATATGAAAATAAAGCCAATCTATGTTAGAGTTTTGTGTGGGAGTTCCAGAATACAACCGCAATCTAAAAGAATCTTCTCTAAAGCGAAACTAGTTTTATTATTCGTGGTCCATTGAACAGCAACACAGCAGTCGCGATTGTCCGACTGATCGGATTTGGACAGGACTTGATTGTGTTTTATTTTTGGCCGAAGGTAAACCCGTTTCTGAAATACGTCACAGTGGATATAGAGTCAGTTTTCGCAACAAACAAAATTAATAATTAGGTATTATTCGAGAGATTGAGTCATTAAATTTTACTGTAGTGTCTCGTCAGTGAATGGTTTAACCTGAGGCTTTTGTATTTTTTTATTTATTTATAATAATCATAATTATTTGCATATGTACCATATAACTTATTTACAATCTAAGGGTAAGTTGCACGACATAACTTTGACGGTAACTATAACCATAACCGATGTTTTTGGTACGGAGTTTGACACATTTTTGACGTTTGTTAAAGGTAAAGTGCGACCTCTGCGCCTTCCTCCACTGTGCCAAATACGTGGGAATAGAAACCGAATTGTTTCGTCTTTTATTTCTACAATCGAGATATCCGGCAGCCAAGCTTTAAGATTTTATTTTCAAAGTTATCTTTGAAGGCATAAGATGGTACCTTCACATCGCAACATTTTTAGTACCTATTGAAGAATTTATATTTTTCTATCGATACTATTGTTTCTGTTAGAATTTTATCGATTTTAATACACCTGTGTGAACCCGCGCAATATAAATTATTCTAATAATTACTAATTTTGCATTATAAATAGTAATAATAGACGATGCTAAATGATATTATATGAAAAAGTTTTCCAATACTGTCTGGCCCACAGAGAGCGTACATGAATAAACTATTATTGGGAAATCAGTTTCCAACTGTGACTTATTGGCTTTCTTGTCTTCGGGAAATATGAGGTTTCTCATTGTTCACCAGTTATTATTATATGCAAGTTTGTTACCATGTGATTGTGTTGCGGGCTCTAAGCATCGAATAAACGTTTTAAGCGTAACGTGACTTCATTGAATAAGTATGTGAGGGATTAAGAAACCTAAAAATAGAAAACTTTAACTCGTGCGCTGTGGAACCTAAGGCTGTAACTATTGTACCTACTCGTACATTATGATAAAAACTTGTATAGAGTTCGATACCAGACAGATCCTCCTGGTCTTCATCTGTGTCTAACCACTACAGACAACAATATGAGTACCTAAAACCGAACATGGTAACAATTTATCCAATTTTTTCTAATGACAGTTAATCATTTTAACTCGGTTTTTGTACATAATTAGTCATAAGTTTGGTCTATCGACAAATCATCGACAGTCATAGACGCTGCCCTACGACACGACATCGATTGGCATCGTGACTGATAGCGATTCGAGAATGGTAATAGCCTAACAAAGGGCGAATGAATGGGCCCGCCCGAGCACAATCTGCACGTGGAACGAGCGACGCCCGACCTTGTCGACTCCATAGTACGAGACGTAAGGAAAACCGCTCGGTTTAGGCAAAGACAAATAACTATTTCTCTTTAATACTCCTACGTTCTCGAAGAAAAGTTCTCGAGTGGCGACCACGAGCCAGAAGACGTAGTGTAGCCAGACTAGGTGAACTGATCAGATCGTGGTGAAGATCGCAGGAGGTGCTTGGATGCGGGCGGCGCAGGACCGGTCTTTGTGGAAATCCTTGGGGGAGGCCTTTGTCCAGCAGTGGACGTCATTCGGCTGAAACGAACGAACTCCGACGTTTATGTAGGATGTAAAGATAGAAAATCATTGTCTAGGATCGGCTGCTAATGCCCAATTCATTAGAGCGTTAATAAATAACTTAACGAGAACATTGCGTGCCGGGCTGCAGTACATGCTCGATGCGAGTGTTACCAACCAACACGCCAAAGAGCTGTTTCAGGACGACGCAGCATTAATGGTGTATTACGATTAAAGCGCATAGCAGACTTATCAACTCGGAAAGGTATCAACACCGTATGGCCTTTCGCGAGCTGTCTATTGCGAGGCGAAGCGTTCACGTTACGGTGCGGATAAGTGTACGTTGCATTGCAGTATGGAGTTTCATACAAAGATTACTGACCGCCTCGAGTTGATATGGTTACAATCCCTTTCCAGGTTGATAAATGTGCGACGTACTTAAATGTTTTTTTTTCTGAACAAATAAGGCAATGGTAACAAAACGTGTGTTGTATGTATTGTTTCTGAACTATTGCTCCAGTTAATTGCTTTCCTATTGTCTATCTACACGTGTGATGGCTGTACCTACACGATGTAAGAGTAAAAGCGAAATTCTGAGTATGTACTGAGGCGTAGACTTGAATCACCAAAGTTATGAATTTTATACAACACTTCTAAGGCAGCGTAGTTATTGATTCCATATTATTATTTACGCATCAGTTCTGACTTTCTGAATGATAAAATGAAATTACTTTGTGATTGCTCTATAACGGTTTTTATTTGATGTTGTATAGCCTGGGCAGGCTGCCTATTTTAGGCTACCCAAATATAAAACAAACAAAATTTGAAATACGTGTTCGTAATAAAAATATATTTCCCCACTTCGCGAAATATATCGTTAATGTTAGAAGCTGCGAAACACACGACGAACGTATGCCTTCTCAGCGTCTTCGAAATTGTTTTCATTTCCTGCCTTTCTCGGAAAATTTAATTATAGCAAAAAATACGTGACTTACTTTAACATGAGTTCTTTCGTGATACAAAACAGACTATTCTTAAATTAAGATGAATACATGTCAGAAATAGAAAGCACTTAGTATAATGGTATTTATAATGTGTTCTGGAGCAATACCTACTTAGGTTGGCACTAGCATGGGTTTAGGATTAAACGGTTACATAAATCTGTTACTAAAGATTCAGTTCTTTTGTTTTTCATAAGTTGTAAATTTTGTGTAGTAGGTATGCAATAATGAAAATCTATAACTAAGAAATAGTAATAACAGGCTGAAATTGGTTTCCATTTCCATCCTATCAGAATATTTCTTTGCATTATATTAATAGTATCGCATAAAAGATCAATAGAAAACTGATACCCGCCGAATGATTTATCGGGCCAAATATTTGTGGAACCTTGGCGGTGTCTTTGGCCAAACACTCCAGCACTCGGTGGATAGCTCAGGCTGATGACGTCACGGCTAGTCTATCCTTTTTAATAATGCCATGCTTACTTTGATTCTTTTGCCAATATTATAAGCGTAAATACGAACGTTAGTTATAAAGAGCTAGGAAGTTATTTGGACTAAAGGACAATGGGCAAAATGGTACCCGGTTCCAATAGATATGCTTCTAGTGTCGTTTGAAAGGTCTTACCAAGACGAACAACTTTTACTATGGCCACTAGCCTCAGATCTGGTTGTGTTCGAAGATAAACATACTTTTTTGCAAAATGGTACCCGGCTCCAATGGTTATGTTTGTAGTGTCATTTGAAAGGTCTTACCAAGACGAACAATATTTACTATGGCCACCAGCCTCAGATCTGGTTGCGTTCGAAGATAAACATACTTTTTGTGTAACCGAAGTATCATACGTATTGTATTACATATGTCCAATTGTCCATCGTATGGTACTTACTTAGGTTATGCGAGGCATGAAGGGTTTACTGCTCCAGCATCCTTCCTTAACTCTATAATTATTGATAGTGATAATTGTGAAATAAATGTTTTTATTTGAAGAACTACTACCCCCTTATTAATAAAAAGTTATACCTAGGATGAACCTTGGATTAAAATGACATTTCCATACCAAATGACAATTTAAGCCAGAGTTCAACTAGGGTGTAACTTTTATTAATAAAGGGGTTGGAGTTTTATTACTTCTTAAGGGTTTTATTATGGGTTGCTAAAGCGAATAAACCCACAAGACCCAATAAGTCCACCCACAAGATGGACCGACGACCTCATAAAGGTAGCGGGAAGGCCTGGATGCAGGCCGCCACCAACCGGCCATTGTGGAAATCATTGGTGGAGGCCTATGTTCAACTAGACGTCCTATGGCTAAAATGATCATGATGATGATGATGAAAGCGAATAAAGGGCTAATGGCTTGGGTAGTTCATCGTAGGTATAATCCTTTCCTTTTAAATGTTTATTTTAGTTATATTAATAGATTCTAGTCATTGTACATACTCGTATACATGGATGATTGTGTTATACTTTCATATAATACTTAGTGGAATTACTGCTTTCAAAACGTGAATTAGAACTGGCCCCATAGCAGACATTTTTCTACATCTAAAGGCCTTTTGAAATATATATTGGTTATGGCTATTGGAGCGGGTACCACTTCCCATACATTTGTGCCCATCATCCTTTACTTTACTGGTCAATAAAATGTGACAGTTTTGATTCGCGTCACAATGTTTCGGCAGGTCAAGCCATTGATATCCACGACACATTATAGATTTTATCCCAGACAGGCGAGCGTTCGCCGCGAACACATCGCGAGACAATTTAAATGCTAATCGGCATCCATCCACTTGACGGATCGCTAATACGATTTTTGATGGCTTCATTTGCAGGTTCAAAACTTTTCAGATTGTATACATATAAATAATAAATATGTTTTTTAATATTTCTTTTCATTTCCAGATAAATTCGACTTGACGATCACTTAAGTAAAAGTTTTTTCTATTTCTAATAAATCATAATCAAAGCCAAAGAAGACAAAAGGCCTCAGATTTCTGAGAATTAACGGGAGCATTCGAAAAACTGTGTGGGTCGGGGCGCCTGTTAGGTATTTGTTTATTCAGTCCTATTTCAAAGTAATAAATCCAAATTTAGCCCAAGTGCTATTAAAGTCTCCATTATTGTCCGTAAAATTTTAACGTCAGAAACAGTCTCATAAAAAGTGACGCGTATGAAGGTGCTGATGAAATATTTTTGTTTTGCTTGTTGCAGAGTCGGGACTGAGCTCCGCGCCGCTTTCTCGGGACTTCGCAAACAACTGGGTAAATATCCATTTTGCTGTACAACTTCTTGTGTTCAAATGTAACTAATGGGCTCCGAAAAGATCTAAAATTAACTTTTCCACAAAACAGAGTCGCAAAATTATAAGGAATGTAAAAAAGTTTACCCTCTTCATAATTATAAAGATTCAAATTAAAGGTGGTCCCATATTTGAAGACTCAAACTTACTCTTTAAGCAATGAATAAATAAGCAACAAAGCGACCCCGAACTTCAAAGACATTCATTCTCTTCAGTGCACAGAAAAATAGCAACTGAAGTATTAAATCCAGCCTTTTAGAAAGAGATAACCCTTTAATTCAAAAGTAGCGTAATAATTTAAAATAATTGCCTGAAACTTGCCAGAGTTATAATAACGAAATGAAAGGGATTACTATCTGCGCTCGAGAAAGATATCTAAATCTGCGCATCTTCGTTACAAAGGCCTAGAAATGATGCTCAGTGAGTCGAGTAAATCATGTAACTGTGTAATCTTCGCTATCGGCCCCGACCAATCGAATTGATTAGGGCTGTCTCGTTTGAAACTTAGTTTAACTGCAATTTAAGTTCTTATTTTAACAATAAATTGACAGAGTTTTTAAATTAAAAACAGATAAAGAGTTTTTAGTTGTTATGATGTATCAATTGGGACGACGTTAAAAAACACAAAATGAGAACTATTCTTCTTGAGTGTGCGCGTGCGCTCAAGTTCAATTAAATAGAATGAACTCAGAATAAAATACACGCCTTTTCTAATAATTTATCCTATTCTGGTAAAGCTTCGATAAATAAACTGACCTCAATGAAGTCCTTTGTCCACCCAAAAGGTAGGTGGAATAGCATTTTTTTTTTTACTCTTAAATACGTGATTGAAATAAAATTGCTGAAAACACAAGCTCCCCTGGGTTTCGCAAGTCCTGTCAATGGTTATTCAATTGCGGTCCTCTCCTGTGAGAAGGATAGCTACCTACCCGTGCATCGCCAATTAGTGCTCGTAAAATTGGCAACCCTATAGCCAGGCGGTCAATCGAGTGATCGCTAGCCTACCGACCAACTGTTACTGAATTTTCGACTCTGAAGTCCAGGTGATAAGGGTTTTGAATTATTGATGAGCATGTAAAATGCAGAGGCGTCAGATTGGCAGTCCATCGACGCCGGTCGAATCGATGTTCGGGTTGGATAATTCGTTATTTGGACTAGAATATGTTAATCCCTTAGGTAGCATTTTAGTGCTGCTGGAGATCTCATGACTTAGATAAATTTGAAACATTAAAATATCATAAACATGGCATGTTGTACTTTAATTAATTTTTAATTTTGAATTTTGCCTATTTTCATTTCAATAAATAAGTACGAAACTGACACAAAGAAAGGAAGATAATGCCCTAGTATTATAAAAGTTCTGTTGGTGGTGAGTGTCATACTTTCGAAGCGGTGTAAATATGTACTTTTATAAGAAAAAAAACATCGAAAATATAGGTCCCAGCCCAGGTAAACAAATAAACATATTTTTCCGACCACATTTCCTTTGGTCAGTGGTAAGCGTTCATTAGTAAATAAGTAGGTATACCTGACATCTAATATCATGTTAGGTAAATAATTAATCTAATCCGGCGGTAGCAAAACATTAATGATATGCCATTACCGCACGAAAAGATGCTGATGGCACAAAGGAAAAATAACCAGCAGTCTTGCTTCTAACACAACGGAGTGGAGCCTTACCAACGTTGGCAGTGGCAAGACACAAGCAAAAGAAAACTAAGCTTACCTATTAATTCTTGCTGCCTAATGTTTACCGCATAAAATGATCACGCAAAAGTAGCTCGTAGCAAAATAGCCACAAACATTATACTGATATTACAATGGTTTCAAAAACTTAATAATTATCTCTGGCTGATTAGCTCTACCAACCGAGTAACATATGAGGGAGGCCTATGTTCAGCAGTGGACGTCCTGTGGCTGAGATGATGATGATTGGCTCTAAAATGTTGATGATGGTGAACGACAAAGGTAAGTACCAGACCGCGTTCATTCTTGACATGCTGTTGTAGAAACGAGCGTGAGCGTAGTGAGCCTACTGGATTTAACGATTGGTGGCTCTCAAGGACATGCGGGGTAAACACGTGTAAACTAAATAAATAACTTATTTAGGCCACTGATCTTCTTCATTTACCATTATTTCATAACATAATTAAGCCTAAATATGGTTTCAGATGTTTAGATATTTGAGTGTAGGTAAGCAATTATTTTGTACGGTGTATTAAATACATTTTTCGAGGATATTTTAAGTGGAGCCAACTTACCTCTCTATGATACTTTGTATTTTTTAATTATACAATGAGTTTAGTATTTACCCGATATCCACCAAAAAATATTACAAAAATTCCTACTAATATTATAAATGTGAAAGTTTGTATGGACTACTAAACGAATTTTTAAAAACTTTAGTATTATTGTTTATAACCCAGAACAACAAACAGGCTATAATTTATGACGATCTTCTGTGACAAACTACACGCGGGTGAAGCCGCGGGCAAAAGCTAGTCTTAAATATGCCAGCACTGTCGAACGAAAATGCCTTGATTGAAAGCATATTCTTAGATCCAGATGAGATTTACCAATCTGAGTCAGCTCGTCTGTTGGAGGAGAATTCTACCGTTTTTCTATCTAAAAGGCAGACGAGAACCCGCAATGAATTTTCTGTCACAAAAACGCGACAGGAGATGACAATATAACAAAATAATATTACATTTCATCACTTTATTCGGAAGTAAGTGAAATAGTGACAGACGCGACGCGCCGCTCTATTTACATGTAGTTTTATTTGCATAACGCGTTTTTGATGCGACTGACGACGGCCGCCGACGACTGACAACGACTGACTCGCCTGACGGCGGCTAATCAGTCAAAGGGACGAAAAATGAGGACGGAATGGCTGTCAAAGCTGGGAAGTAACAGCAAACACATTTTTACAGAGCTAGGATAACATGAAACTTTAGAGACGTGTACGAAAACCTGTAGTCATTTGAATATTTGATGATTTATAAAAAGTTTAACAAAAGAGTTTTTGGTCTTAACTTTATTAGTGTACAAATAGATTGAAGAAACTGCAATGGTTATATAAAGTCGCCGATATCTTCACTATTAGTATTTATTTTCAGATACATTTGATTACAGTACCGGAAATGAATATTATACTGAACTTTCTAAAGAAAATGATCGGTAATTTCACTGAGATTATTTCCACAGCAAAATGTATCATAAGATATGCTTTTATGTCAACCATCCTACATTTTTAATGTATTTTGCGACATGAGGCACTAATTATCAAACGGTTTCTCCATCTCTGGAATATAGATTAATGTGCATGGTTTTTTATATTTATTTCCCAACTGCAGGGTTCAAACGTGCCGGTGACGTTTTATTACGCGTATCGATTCGAAGGAGGAGCATAGTATGATCATCATCATCATTTCAACCATAGGACGTCCTGCTGCCGACGACTGCTGAACATAGGCATCGTATGATGATATTTTCTAATAACCAAGCTGTTTTGACCTAGCTGTTGGCAGCGAATTTGTGAATCTGACAAACACACATTGTGTAAGGCCGTATTCACAAGGCGGACGTGCGAGGCGCGGATTTATGCGGCCCGTATTCATAATGGGCGGGCGCGGGCGGCATTGTCGGGCTAATGTGAAAAATTGTGGGAAAGGTAGAATGTGACGTGCGGGTTTCGGGAAAATATTCCTTGGTTGTATTTACAACGATCCTAACGTCTTCGTCTTATTTTTACGAATGCTGAATCAGAATATATCATGAACCCAACCTCTTTCTTAATAAAAATATTGGAACTAGATTTTATTGAGATTTTTCATTTGTAAAGCTGCTGAAATCAATTTATAGGTACCTACTTATCTTTTAATAGTTCTTGCATATTTAAAAAAAATATTTTTACATAGACATGATTTTCTATAGGTACCTAACCTATTCCTATACAACGTCTTCCTCCGTCTTCCTCCTTATTCTTAGAAAAACTTGAAGAAGAAGCTAGATCGAGCTTGTTAAAATATTGCTCTTCCTTAAAATGATAGTAGATTATCCTGGACTCCCATAACAAAGTGGTCCCACTAACGCCGCCCGTCGGTTCCTTGGACCTCTATTTGCGGCATGATGGAGGATCGCTTATCGCACGCCTTCTGCCACAATGAGGCCTTCTTTTTAACAGTAGGTTCCAAGACATCGGACAACGGTAACGACAGTTTTATGCCCAAATGAGACGATTTCTTACTAGACTTCTGGATCTAATATGAGTAGGAACACAATACGGGAACGAGCTTCTAATTTTCACAACAGGTTAGTTTCAGAAGGTATTAACTATAAGTCTATTAAGTCTAAACATCAGAATAGTTTTCAATACTCAATTATTTAATGCATCTACAATGTTACAGAGGCTTATTAATTATTAATATCCTAAAATAGGCCAAAGCGTCTGCTCATTATTGGTTATGTCTGTTTTGCACAATGTGCGCGAGTGTGGGCGCTGACTGACACCCAATCCCGCGCAGCGCTGAAACACTGCTCAATAAAAGTCAGTAAGCCTACGTCGAATTTAGGCATTGAATGGACTTCTTCTCTTCTTGTCGTGATAACAACAAACCTACACAGTGTAAGCCCAAGACTCTGCTCCCGAGTTGTCAGACTTTCATGTGCTTCATCGACTGGGGAACACAACCGCACTTGCACCCCAAGTTTGAACCATTTGAGAATCCCCACCTAAACAGATTGTCCTTACTACGGCCGACTTGCGACCGAAGTCTAATCATTGAATGGACTAATAGATAAATGATTTAAATTAACAAAATGTTAACAAAATTACCAGTTAACATATTATTTTATGAGCTTTTTACAAACCAAAATGTTCATTGATTTAAGGATATTTAAAATTATCATACCTTCTACATTGGATTGCAGTTTAGGCCTACTGATAGTATTTCCACTATG